TGAGTGAGTGAGTGTGTGTGTGTGAGAGAGAGAGTGTGTGTGTTTGTGTGTGTGTGAGAGAGAGTGTGTGTGTGTGAGAGAGTGTGTGTGTGTGTGTGTACAACACAGTGAATTAGTGCGGAGTAGAATCTGATCTCTGTTGCCAACTGTCAGCTAAACCTGCTGTAAAGCAATATTGTGGACTAAAGAACTTGACCAAAATCATTATACTGATCAGAACGGACATGTAAACAATATTTTAAATTGTTATATATTTACATAATATATCTTTTTAATGCTATTTTATATATATATAGTTACATATTTATGTATGTATTTATGTATATACACACACACACACACACACTCTCTCACACACTCAGAGCCGTGTGATTTACTGGAGAACCGGACTCCACATCAGCAGAACAACCAGACGCTCAACAGAAGTCAGTCAATCTACTGCTTTCTGACCGAGAGAGAGAAACAGATCACCTGTCCTAAACTAATCTCTGAGAATCGATTAAAATAGTCAATAATTAATGAAACCATAAAACGTAAAATTAAAATAAATAATACATTTTGAAACAAAAACCATCAAGTCACTGAAAATAAATCATTAAGATGTAAAATAAAAATTAACTTCATCAAAATAAAATACTTACTAAAAAGTAATTAAACCATAAAAATGTAAAATGAAAATGAATAATTGTACAAAAAAATCTAAATAAAACACTCAATTTTAAGAAAAGTATTCAAATGTTACATTTAAAAGAAATCATTTATAAATGAAATCTATCAATACAAAATTTACAAAAAAAAAAAATTATATATATATATATGTATAAAGTGTTCAAAAGTCATCATCAGCAGAAGAGTGAGAGATTGAAGAAGAGCCAACAGAAGCCTGACTGGGCTGTTCTCTGGACTGTTCTCTGGGAGGCGGCTGGTCACCTGCTGAGCGCTGTGGTCGGCAGCTGCTGGAATATCTGGCTCTTGTCCGTCTCAAAGTTACTGTTCCAGTTCCTTCATGATCGACAGAAAAACCTCTGTTACTTCCAGAAGTGAAGAAGAGCAAACTGAAGAAATGTGCAGGTTTGCCAAAGAACCAGAGGAGCAAAGGATAGATTCAGAGCAGGACTGACCACACTAACCGACCCGCACAAACACACCTGCGGTCCATCTGTGTGTGTGTGTGTGTGTGTGTGTGAGAGAGTGTGTGTGTGTGTTGCTCCTGATCATCTTCATCAGTATCTCACACTCTCACTCTCACACACGAGTCTGAACCAATGAGCACGTTACCTTCTCCAGCTGGGGTCAGAGGGCGGAGACAGATACACAGAGCTGCTGTGAGAGCTGTCCATCTGAGGTCAGAGGTCAAGGACATCGACGGCATCATCATAACTCCATTCACACACAAACCTGCAGGAGAGACGGCCAGGGAAGGATACTTGTTTCCTGTAGGGTCTGCTGGGAGAGATGAAGCGCCGGTCTCTGTGAACCCGCTCCACCAGACCATGATGCCTCGTGGAGCGACTGGAGTCCAGCGGAGAGTGAAACGAGGCCTGAGACACACACACACACACACACGGGTTTACACGAGCCGTAATGAGCTGCTGTGGATGCGTCTGGAGACACACACACACACCTGCAGCTCTGAGGCGCTCCTGCTGATCTGGTTGACGTTGGGCAGAGATCCGCCGTAATACGGGCCCTGAGTTCTGGCCAACCGGACCTTCTGCGCCTGAATCTGAAACACAAGACGAGAAATCATTCAAATCCTGTGCACGCGTGACATCCCACAATGCAATGTGCTTGACCTGACCTTCATTTCCAGTATGACAGGAAGTCATTATCAGCTCTGACATTTACTTGACTCGTTATCTGACTTCCAAAACTTAAGATAGTTTTGTACAATCTTGCAGGGTTTCCCAACAGGGTTTGTGATGTGATGAAAATAGTTAATAATTCATTAAATCATACAAATGTAAACTAATTCATTTTAAAATAAAAACCATCAAAATGAAACTTACTAAAACTGAATAAAGTCTAAATCAATTCATCATTTGTAGAAACTCTTCAAAATAAATCACTTATTGTTAAAGGTTATTAAACCATAAAAAGTTTAAATGAATAGAAATCACACAAAAAATTAAAAAAAATAAATCATAAAATGTAAAATCTAAATAAATCAAACTTTAAGATTTTTTAAAAAGTTTTTAAACCATAAAAAAAATTAAGTTACAATGAATTAAAAAATGTAAAATCAAAATCAATAATTAAAACAAAATCTTCTAAATAAAAAAAAACTTCTAAAAAGTTGTAAAACATAAAATCAAAATAAATAAAATAATTTTACAATGAAAACAAATCAATATAAAACACTAACTAAAAATTAAACCATAAAACTGCAAAATATTAAAACATAATTTTAAAATAAAAACCATCAAAATAAAATTTACTAAAAAAATCTAATGTAAAATAATTTCCTTTAAAAATCATCAAAAATATAAACTATAACTAAAAGTCACAAGAGGTCAAATTAAAATAATTTTAAAATAAAAAAAAATATTTTAAAAAAATTACATTAATCTGAAAAAAAATATATTAAAATAATCCAATTACTAAAAAAAGATGTAATATTTTATTTGTTTACCTACATGTCATGTGTCCATTAACCGACATCTGAGAGCCATGAACATATGAATGTGCTGCTATATTATTGAAATATTGAAGTCAAATCTCAGTAAATGTTTTAACTCAAAGAGGTTTGCTGTCGTGCTGAACACACACACCATGAAAAGATGTTTATATGCAAACCATAACTCATGCCTGAAAAGCTCTCGAGTCCCTTACTGAGTCTAAGAGTGTGTTTCAGGGTCAGAGGTCACCAACACCAGCCTCTGCTGCGTCTGTATCCATCATTAATCGAATCAAACATAACTCGGGCAGTTATGATTCATTCAGACTCAGTTATTCACGAACAAATCTCACCAAAACTACATCATAACACTTACATATTTAAATAATACAAGATAAAACACTTAGCCTACTGAAAATGTATTACATCAAAAAATGCAACAATGTAACAATGAATAACTTTTTTTTAAAATTCAAAATTAAACCGTAAAATGCAATTGAATTTTAAATTGCAAAATGAAAATAGGTTTTATTTTTTCATTATAATTTTGCATTTTATAGTTTAATAAAGTGTTAGTAAGTGGCTCATTTTGATACTTTTCGAATAAAAACAATCAAAAATGCTAAATTAAATAATAATAATAATAAACAAACAAATCAAAATAAATCACTTAGTAAATATTCTTTTAATGATAGGATGCGAAATTTAAAATATATATATAATTTAAGTTTTAGTAAGGGGTTTGTTTTGATACTTTTCAAATTAAAATAATCAAAAATAAATGCTAAATTAAAATAAATGATAAAACAAACAAATCACGTAGTAAATATTTAATGAGAGGATGCAATATAAAAACTATTAAGTTTTTTAGTAAGTGGTTTATTTTGATACTTTTCAAATTAAAAATCTAAATAAATATTTAATTAATTAATAAAACAAACAAACCAAAATAACGTACTTGGTAAATATTAATTTACTGATAGGATGCAAAATTTAAAACAATTTAATTTTATAATTTAAGTTTTAGTAAGTGGTTATCAAAATAAAACACTAAAACTTAATCAAATCATAAGAAGCTAAATTAAAATTATTTAAAACGTAAAAATCTAAATACAGCTTACTTAAATCTAATTAGATTACATCAAACAAATAATGTAAATAAATAAAATATTTCATTTTTAGTACGTTAAGTGTTTTATTTGATTCAGTTATTGATGAGCAATGTCACTGCTGAGGTGAAAAGTGTAAAATCATCAGGACTAGTAATACTAGTAAAGGTCAACTAACCAGCTCTGACACTGCAAACACACAGAGAAGTACCATGGTACGAGTCCACAAATTACCACGGTACTTTCTGGAAGTGTTTAGAGACTGACAGCAGATGAAGAACATCAGAATGAGGTTTTAGACGGACACGATGAGATTAACAGCGTAACTCTCAAATATCGCTCGATATTAAACGAGTGAAGTGTGTGAGGAGCTCATGCTAACCTGCTGCTAACCGCTTCCGGTCTGAGAGACTCATCAAACTCACACTCGCGTTAAACGCGCTTTTGCTGTCGGTGCGCCTCGAATAACATCCGTCGTGTAATACAAGCGCCTTTAACGTCTTTCGCCGATCCCGTTTTCGTGATATCCGCGTTATTTTCGTTAGCTTGCGTTAGCTAGTGCGCTACTACCTGCTAGCGCTCGCTCAGGAGACGAGAGAAAACACGGATTTGAGACGGAGCCGTGTGTGTGTGTGTGTGTGTGTGTGTGTGTGTGTGTGTGTCCGTTACCCGGGTGGAGCTGAGGTCCATCATGACCTCCTGGAACGCCGCCGTCTCCTCCGCCTGTCTCTGTGTGTGCAGCGCGATCTTCTCGCTGAACTTCCGCAGGTTGGAGGCGCCGGGCGCGGGAACAGAGCCGCTGTGATTCGGTCCCGGTGCCGGTCCGCAAGCAGCACCCGCGGAGGACATGATGAGCGAACCCTGAGCTCACATACACACCGGAGAACAGACCGACCGACACACACACACTGACAGAGAGAGAGAGACGAGCCCTCTAGTGGCACGAGCGAGACTTACACACACTGAGTGTGTGAGCGGAGTGATTTTGCCTGGAGCTAAGAGCGGGTTTTTTTAAAGTCAGAGTGTTGAGGTTTTCACTCGCTCAGCTACCGCTCCGTCACCAGCACAAATTATGCCATTTGGTCAGTCGCACTTTTAAACACATTTTAGTTTTGCTATAGAAAACCTACAAATCCACACTCTGATCACACAGAGCAGCAGCAGGAGGCGGGTGAGGTTGTCATGGCAACCAGATACACTGCACGCGGGTTACGGCTGCGCTTCTATTTCGCCGCACTAAACTTAGCGATAAACACCTTGAAAATAATACACAATAAACATGTCTGTCAAAACGATCTCAAAGGAGGCTTTTATTAAGCAAATCACGGAGTGAATTACTCATCCACTGTTTAAAAATAATACTTTAGCTGGGTCTACGGTGTGTGAAGCTAAAGGTTTTTGGGTTAAGGTTCATAATGTAGAGCATTTTTAACATTGTATGCTGTATGTGCATAGGTAGCTAGCAAACAAGGAATACAGCTGTTAAGCTAATAGTCACGCCTAATGCTCAAAAGCAATAGCAAAAGTAATAGGTATGAATAGCTAGGCTGGCTTGCACACTATATTGCCAAAAGTATTGGAACACCCCCTTCTAATGAACAGGTTTGACTACTTTAGTAATTGTAAGGGAATTGTGTGCTTCTAATTTTATACCAATAGTTTGAACAGGACCATTTTATATTCTAACACAACAACGCCTCTGTGTATAAGGCAAGGTTAAAAAAA